CTTGTTTTCGATGTGTATACGCGTCCGAACTTGCCTCATAAATTTGCAGCGCCATGTATCAAATGAACAAACGCTGTAAATATAATTAAGCGGTAGCACACCAACATATGTTAGGGGAGAGTGTCGGTCAAAAATCGATATATTCTGTTTTTCCGTTTTCTTGGCTCATTTTGTAGCTGCTCAAATGGCGCGTCTAACGCAGCAAACCTTATGTATGTGTGTGCTCTGGTTTTTGCGTAAAGCAATTTCAAAAAATGTAAATAAAATAAACATTTTTATCACTATGTACAAAGTTTACTTTAAATTAAATCTGGATTTATAGATCATTATTCTCGTTGATTGCAAAGTGTTTGCACTCGTTTGAAAGCTACAAACAAGACGCGTTTAGCAAAGCTAATGCCATGGATGTACATGCCATAATTTTTGTGTAAGGTTGTTTTCAACTTTTGTAAAGTGACCGTTTGATAACAATATTTACAAAATTTCTTTAAAAAATGTTTTTATAGATCATCATTCGCGTTAATTGCAAAGTGTTTAAACTCGTTTGAAAGCTAAAAACGTTCAAGAAAGCAAATATCACGGATGTACATGCCAAGTTTTTTTGCGTTAGGCCGTTTTGAACTTATATAAAAAACATTTTATATATATAAATATAAAAAAGACCCATTTATAGCTTATCATTCACGTTTAACTGGACAAGTATAAGTCTAAAGACGCGTGCTGGACCCTAAATGCAACTAATTGGCAATGGGGAAGCTGGGGCTACAATATCGAGTATTTTTTTAGTATATTCTTTTTTCAATAAATTTTTCTAAAATCTCTAAATCTCTAGAGGTCATTTGGTCATTTTTTTAATTTCTTTTTTGTTTTTATTATATATTGAAAAAGGAGCGGGGGAGGAGTCAACATTGAAAAAAAAATCAGAATAGTAAAAAATAAAACAAAAATTGAAAAATGCCCGGATGCCCTTTAGATATGGTCTTTACGCATCGAATGATATGTCTCTATGTTGTAGTTTCAAATTCCTAGGAGGAGAAAAATTTTTACACTAGCCCTTTTTTCCCATTTTCAATGAATTTCACGTTTTCTATCAGTTTTTCGAAAAAATTACAGGAACGAAAAGTCGTTGATATCTATTTTACATATGTGTACAAAATTTCATAATGATCAGTTCGTAAATAAAAAAGTTTATTTTACCGACACGCTCCCCATAAGTAGAAACACACCATCTCACATGGTAACACACCAGCATCTAACGTATCACCAACACACCAACACCTAACGTATCACTAACACACAACACCTAACCTATCACTACTAAAGCATCACCAACACACCAACTCCTAACGTATCACTACTAACGTATCATCAACACACAGCACCTAAAGTGTCACCATCGTTGCAGCGGAAGACTGCCTGCGCTGTATGAAGGAAGGCTCAAATAACACACTAACACCTAAAGTATCACTACTAACACACTAACACCTAAAGTATCACTACTAACACACTAACACCTAAAGTATCACTAATAACGTGTCACCAACGTTGCAGCGGAAGACTGCCTGCGCTGTATGAAGGAAGGCTCGTCGCTGGTGAAGGTTCGCAGCAGCGGGCGTCAGTATCACAGATACTTCCGCCTGCTCGACGACCTGTCAGCCATACACTGGACGCCCTCTACCAAGAAGACGGCTAAAGCTCAGGGTGAGATCTGTGTTTTTTATTAGTCAAGTTTAAATTAATGTTAAGGGGGATATTCATTCAACATTAAATTCAGGGTGATGGCCAAAGCCCAGGGTGAGATCTATGTTTTAAATCATTCAACTTTAAATTAATGTTCAGGCTGATATAAATGATAGTAAATTAATAGTAGAATAGAAAATGATGTTGCGTTCGGTATGAGATCTGTGTTTTTAATCATTCAACTTTAAATTTAGGGTGATATCCATTCAACGTTAAATTCAGGGTGATGGCCAAAGCCCAGGGTGAGATTCATGTTTTGAATTATTCAAGATTAAATTAATGTTTAGGGTCATATCCATAATAGTAAATTAGAAGTACAATAGGAAATAATGTGTTGTTCAGGGTAAGATCCGTTCTTGAAGGATTTTTTTAAGTCCAGTTGACAATAGTATAATGTTCATGGTAAGATTCATGTTTAAAATGACTTTATATTAGTATAAAATAATTTACACATATGAAGAAACTTAAGGATGTTGAAAGTAACATACAAATAAAAAAGTGTGAAATATTTGAAGTAATAAATATCAGTATGTAGAGTCAAATCCTCTTTTATTTTGCTGAAATATGTAATAAGAAAAATAATTGTTCAATTATTAGAGAATAATCCGTGATAATAGAACTCCGTTTTACGACGGCATTCAATAATTCAGTCAAGTCACATCATAAGGTTCACATCATATGGTTCACATCATAAGGTTCACATCATATGGTTCACATCATATGGTTCACATCATATGGTTCACATCATATGGTTAATTAATGTTCAGGGTGATATTCATTCAACATTAAATTATTGTTCAGGGTGATATTCATTAAACAATAAATTAATGTTCAGGGTGATATTCATTCAACATTATATTAATGTTCAGGGTGATATTCATTCAACATTAAATTATTGTTCAGGGTGATATCCATGATGGTAAATTAAAAGTACAATCGAAATAATGTGATGTTCAGGGGGAGATTGAGATTTAAAATTATTTAACATTAAATTAATGTTTAGGGTGATATCCATGACGTTAAATTAAAACTACAATAGAAAGTAATGTTGCGTTCAGGGTGAGAGTCATGTTTAAAATTATATAACATTAAATTAATGTTCAATGTGATATCAATGACGTATATTAGAAGTACAATAGGAAATAATGTGATGTTCATGGTGAGATCCGTCCTTGAAGGATTTCTCAAGTCCAGTTGACAATAGCATAATGTTCAGGGTATTATACATGTTTAAAATGGCTTTAAATTAGTATAAAATAATATACTGTTTAGGATGAGACCATGTTTAATTTATTTTAATTGCAGTCGACATTGATGTAACGTTGTGGGTGACATCAATGCTTTCAAGATTTTAAGTCCATACAATCGACAAAAGTATAATGTTCAGGTCTTGAGGTCCATGTTTATGATACTAAAATTAAAGCAGAATAGGAAATATTACCGGAGTCTTGCGTGAGATTCCAGTATCAGCCTTTTGTTATATTGTATTAAATCGACTATAGAAGAGCAAGCCAGAGGTCCATGTGAAGCACTGCGGTTGGGACACCAGCTATTATACGTTAGTTTCCGCTCAATTCGAGGAAAATATTAAATTCATGGCTGTTGAAAATAACATTCGAGTAGAAAAGTGCAAAATATTTCAAGTCATAAATTTCAATTTGTAGAGACAAAGCCTATTTTATTTTACTGAACTATGTAATTAGAAAAAATTGTTCAATTAGAAAAAAATCCGCGAAACATGAACTCTATTTTACAACGGCATACAATAATTACGTCAGGTCAGTGAACCTCAATTGTAATGAAATTATTACTCAATAGTGGAATAAATGTGGTCCATTTCAGATGGTTCACATCATATGGTTCACATCATATGGTTCACATCATATGGTTCACATCATATGGTTCACATCATATGGTTCACATCGTATGGTTCACATCATATGGTTCGCATCATATGGGTCACATCATATGGTTCACATCATATGGTCCAAATCATATGGTTCACATCATATGGTCCACATTATTCGGTTCACATCATATGGTCCATATCATATGGTTCACATCATATGGTTCACATCATATGGTTCACATCACAAGGTTCACATTATATGGTCCACATCATATGGTTCACATCATAAGGTTCACATCATATGGTTCACATCATATGGTTCACATCATATGGTTAATCATATGGTTCACTATCATATGGTGTTCAATACGTTACAGACACCTGGGTGGCAGTGTTCAGCACGTTACAGACACCTGCGTGGCAGTGTTCAGCACGTTACAGACACCTGCGTGGCAGTGTTCACCACGTTACAGACATGATGTATTCATGGTTGTAGCTCCTGCTGTATGGTGGACCTTGAGTTCCTCTAGTGAAGTTGGAGGATAATATCACATAGAATAAATATTCAAATATTCGCATTGAAACACTTAGGAAATTGGCAATCGATGTGTTGGATGGAATAGTAATGCTGCATGGCAGGCGAGCGTGTTAGCTGCTTCACATTCGTGTATCATTTTAAAATGATGACATGTCAGCTGCAACTCATTTGCGGAACATACTAAAATGAGAACATGTCAATTGCAACACATTCGTGGAACATTATAAAACGAGAACATGTCCGCTGTAACACATTCGTGGAACATTATAAAATGAGAACATGTCAGCTGTAACACATTCGTGGAACATTATAAAATGAGAACATGTCAGCTGCAACACATTCGTGGAACATTATAAAATGAGAACATGTCAGCTGCAACACATTCGTAGAACATTCTAAAATGAGAACATGTCAGCTGCAATAGATTCGTGGAATATTATAAATTGAGAACATGTCAGCTGCAACATACAGTATTCGTACAACATCTCATGGTCTTCATCTGAGAAGAACAGACTTGACTAATTTTTGACACGCTCGTTGCCGCAACTGACAGCANCACATTCGTAGGACATTCTAAAATGAGAACATGTCAGCTGCAACATATTCGTAGAACATCTCATGGTCTTCATCCGAGAAGAACAGACTTGACTAATTTTTGTCATGCTCGTTGCCGCAACTGACAGCAGTAACTTGAATATTACTTTCACTTTTCCGTAGAATTTTCGTTGTCAGCTTTTCTAAACTAAAATGCAGACATAAAATTATCAACATCGAGATCCAGTCGAGACGACCCCGGAAGTACGTTCGTATTCTTTGGCATTCCGCCTTATTATTATTATTTCTATACTAAAATCAAAGAAATAATTTGTTCATATATCTTTAAGATTGTTGACCCGTACACAGATAATTATGACGTAGTTTTTGTTCAGCTGTCTAATACTACAACTCGTATTTTCCATTAAAAACTTCATTATTTGAATTCTTAATCTCTTCTGTATATCGTTTCTAGTCCCGGATTATCCTAATGACAGACCCGTTTATCCCGGCCAAAAATGCCTTCCGTCCCATTTTCGGCGCAAGAACATTAAATTTTTCTTTAATCCAGCCTAACACTTTACAAATTTTTCAGCCTGATCACTATCTCTCTCTCTTCCGCCTGAAGAAGAAGTAACACTTTCTCCAAGCTCACGTACACCCAACACACGTAACACTCCCACACTCTCCAAGCTTACGTACACCCAACACACCCAACACTCCCCACACTTCCCTAGCTCACGTACGCCCAACACACCTAACACTCCCCACACTCTCCTAGCATACGTACGCCCAACACACCCAACACTCCACACACTGCCCAAGCTTACGTACGCCCAACACACCTAACACTCCCCACACTCCCCAAGCTTACGTACGCCCAACACACCTAACACTCCCCACACTCCCCAAGCTTACGTACGCCCAACACACCCAACACTCCCCACACTGCCCAAGTTTACGTACGCCCAACACACCTAACACTCCCCACACTCTCCTAGCATACGTACACCCAACACACCTAACACTCCCGCAGCTCACGTATCCTTAGTATCCTTAGTATTTGTTTGGGACATAGCAGTCCCAGGCCACGATGGATCGCCGCCTCTGGTTATCGTTCATCCGCCCTCATTTGGGCTACACCCCTAAACTAACCCCCTCCCCGCAATGCGCAGTGAACATCGCACAGATCCACGAAGTTCGCACCGGGCGCAACTGCGCATCCCTGCGTCACCAGCAGCACCCGCAGCGCTTCCCCGAGGACCGCATCTTCAGCGTCCTGTACGGCCCAGACTACCGCAGCCTCGACCTCATCGCCTACACTCCTGAGGAGGCCACCGTCTGGGTCACTGGCCTCAACGCCCTCATCGGCGACGCCTCTTGTGGGTGCAGTGTGTTGTGTGTTGTGTAATGTGTTGCGTGCTGTCTTGTGTGATGTGTTGTGTGCCGTGTCGTGTTATGTGTAGTGGAGTGTGTTGTGTTGTGTGATGCGTCATGTAATGTGTAATGGAGTGTGTAGAGTGCTGGGTTGCGTGCTGTGTTGTGTGTTGTGTTCTGTGTTGTGTTCTGTGTCAGGTAATGTGTACTGGAGGGTGTTTTGTGCTGTGTTGTATGCTGTCTTGTGTGACGAGTTGTGTTGTTTTGTGTGTTGTGTACTGTGTTCTGTGCTGTGTCATGTAATGTGTAGTGGAGTGTGTTGTGAGTGTCGAGAAGTGTCCCGAGAGTGTACCTCTCATGTATACTCCCTCATTTCATCATTGCGTGCTATGAAATGATTACTCTCTCCCTTCTGTGTCATCTCCATGCGACCAATTACTTGTAACTTGTTTTACACCGCGAAAAGCTATCATAATTTGTGATTTTGACTGTATTAGGTACAGGCCTATTTCCAATTAACCGAATATTAGCAGTTTGAGATGTAACATCATACGGTCAACATCACACCGCTAGCAGCTCCATCCACAGTATTATGTTCATTACAATCGTCATTAAATAAGCTAATTTTCATCCTCAGCTGTGAAGAAATGTCCTCCACAACGGAGGTAAATAATTGCCAAAGTTTCAGTTGTGTTATCATAAATTTCTTGGCAGCTCCAGACGCTCCCGATGTCGACATTGTTCCGCTCCGGGACCGATGGCTCCTACAAGTGTTCAACGAGGCCTGCGGCTCACAATCCGGCTCCTTGGATCAGGAATCTTGCCTCCAGCTCATCCAACGGCTCGATAGCACCATCGAGGCAGAGAGGATATTGCATAAAATCCAGGCGAGGGGCAACATTATCCCTTAGGATAAAGGAGGCGAGGGCAATATTATCCTATATAGGGTCCAGGAGAGGGGCAATATACATTATCCCTTGAGACGATAAATTCTGTGGGCAGATTGTATACAGGCTTTTAACTTTAAGTGTTGCGTCTTGGCAACATAATGTGACATTATCTGAGGTGGGGTGATGTAGCTTTCACAAAGTTTATTGCTATTATGTGGCATATTCATTTTGGGGTGATGTAGCTTTTTCGAAGTTTAATGGGTATGATGTGGCATTATCCATTAGGTTCGATATCAANATATAATTTGTAATAGCAGCCGTAAAGTCTGCAGTTCACTCCAGCCATGGGATTGCCAAATAAAAGAACAAATAATTACCCCAATAATTAATAAATAAATAACGTGCAGGAATATGAGGCGTGTAATGGCCCAATATAATGACAAATAATTAACCCAATAATTAATAAATAATTAACGTGCAGGAATATGAGGCCTGTAATGGCCAATAAAATGACAAATAATTAACCTAATAATTAATAAATAAATAACGTACAGGAGTATGAGGCGTGTAAGCGCGAGGGCTGCAGAGGGCGGCTGGGGCCCGCGGAGTTCGTGAGGCTCTACAAGGACCTGGCGACGCGACACGAGATCTGCTGTCTGCTCATTAGGTTATTTCTTGTGATTTATTTAACTTTATTGATACTGGAAATAGTTAATTGATTGAGTCAGGGATAGAACCTCTTAAAGGTTTGTTATTTGAAATAATTTATTGTATCTAATGTTCATGTTATTTGGGTGTACGGAGTTACTTTGATTTGCAGTATTACTTGTGATTTATTTAACTTTATCAATATTGGATATAATTAATCTATTAAGTCAGGGATATAAACTCTTAAGGTTCCTTATGATATATTAAACTTTATTGATATTATAAATAATGAATCGATTGATTCGCTCATCGAGTGCTGGGTTGTGACTTATTATGAGTCCTATAGTCTTTGCTATAGTCCTTGTTATTATGAATTTATTTATGTAACTTTATTGATATTGGAAATAATGAATCGATTGATTCGCTCATTAGGTCAATGGTCCTTGTGATTTATTATGAATTTATTTATTATTTATAAAACTTTATTAATATTGAAGATAATGAATTGCGTGATTCGTTCATGAAGTCAACATTCGTTATAATATATCAAACTTTATTGATATTGGAAATAATTGCTCGATTGAGTCAGGAATATAAACTCGTAAAGGTTCTTTATGACATATTTAACTTTATAGATACTGTAAATAAAAAATTAAAAAAATTAAAATAAATTATTTAATGTTAAATTATAAAGTAACAATATTGATAATTATAATTAATAATTAATTCAATATTAAAATTGAAATTAAATAATAATTATATTCCTGAATTAATATTAATTAATATTAATTCAGGAATATAAACTCTTACGGTTCCTTATGATTTATTAAACTTTATTGACTTTTGAAATAATTAATCGATTAAGTCAGGAATATAAATTCTTTAGGCTTAGGACCTCTAAAGGTTAGTGACCTCTAAAGGTTAGTGACCTCTAAAGGTTAGTGACCTCTAAAGGCTGTCTCTTATACACATCTAGATGTGTATAAGAGACAGGTGTTCAGTACGTTACAGACACCTGCGTGGCAGTGTTCAGTACGTTACAGACTCCTGCGTGGCAGTGTTCAGTACGTTACAGACACCTGCGTGGCAGTGTTCAGCACGTTACAGACACCTGCGTGGCAGTGTTCAGTACGTTACAGACACCTGCGTGGCAGTGTTCAGTACGTTAC